ATATGATTATTAATTATATGAGGTTTCGTACTTCCTTGTATGTCTTAGAATATAGCACGAAACATGATGTGATAATGTTTAATTAAGAGAAGAGTAATATTACTTGGGTGATTATGAATATTATAACAACATGCTAAATTACGGTGTTATTGTATTATAGTAACAAAACTGTGCAATCATCAATAATAGTAATTGATAATAATATTTCAAGATGATAATTCGCAATGTGACTCAGTGAAATAAGAAATAAGTAATTAAAATATTAATTATCAATAATAATAACGAGGAGACAGGGGATTAATAATGAATATCAATAGATGTACATATATATGTGTGCATATACTTGAACAAGGTATAATTGTACATAAGGTAAATGAATACAGAGAATTGAATATATGAGTATATATCTATATATATATATATTGTTGCGAGGTAAAACTTGATAATAAACGATAATAGTAGTAATATGATAATAATAAAACGTGATTGTAATTGAAATCAATCAAAACTACTCTTGAATTAAATGATTGAATATAAAATATTACAAGTTTTGTAAAATATATGAATTTATGTATATATTTGTATAATAATTGAATAGGCAATGCAAACTTATCAATGAAATTTATAAAATGGTGATTCAAAGAATAAGTAGTTGATTATTATCTTTAAATTTCTAGAGCTTTAGCAATGAATATAAGTGAATTGCTTATTGTTACCTTAATAATAAGAAGATTCGGCGAAGAACTAGTATGTGGTCGTAATTAATTGGCAGGCTTCGGTGGACCAGAGCGTTGTTCGAGGAGGATTCGGCGAAGAACTAGTAATGAACTGGCAAGACTTAGAAGTTTCGAGACAACGTCTGGACTCAGCGAGTAACTCTTTCAACTGCTTTAGAACGACCTGCTTAAAAACGTCTGTACTTGACGAGTGATCCTTTTCAACTGCGCGGCCCGCTCGGTCGCCTACCTGCATTTCGGCTCGGCGCGCGGCCGCTGCTGCGAGACAATAGAATGTCTTCTGCGCATGTCAATTAAGCGTTACGCTATGAGATTACTCGCTCTTATATGCGAGAATATAATTTAACAAAGAAATTTGGAATTATAATAATAAAAGATCATTTTTATAATTATGATAAATGTGTCATTCAAGTATACTTGGAATTTACGAATCATTCGAGAGAATGGTAGAGTTAATATATTTTCCGTACGCTTAATTGGCTTTATTTATAATTGCAATCTCATACTAGTATTCTTTCTTCCCAATTTTATGTCGTGATTATTAAATACTATAGTTCGCATTATCGAGGATCCAGAAATTCATTCTCTTTTATATTATAATATTTAAAATGAGCCTATATATTTGAATGTCGGAATGCAAAATTATAAGGGTGTCGTTTGACACGTGGATATATAATTCTTTATTAAAGAAAAGGAATTTTAATCAATATTAATTCAGCCTGGTAATATATTTTAATTCAGTGCGTTAAATTTTAGTCTCAGTAAAAGGCTCGCAAGGGAAGCGCGAATCGCTTATCTCTTGCCGAGAGACTGTCAAGTGGTGTCGTGTAACATAAACTTTTCGGCACACGGCCCGCACGAAATTCTTGCCGTATGATAAGTAAAGCTTCTAGAAGGTTCTAGAAGGTATGATGTAAAAATGAATTTCTGTCTCCTGTCGATTGTTAAA